ACAGAGTAGAATAGTGTGTTTTAGAAATAGTTTATAAATACAGTATTAACTCTAACTGACATGCTTAGCATAACAAGAAGTAAAGATGAACAAGATATAGTCCCACCTATGACAGAGGCTCATGTGAAGCAGACACTTATATAAACAGTCATACAATACCATAAATATTTAGTTATATGAAAGAAGAACTTTTCAAACAGAATACAATTCAGTTACCTGGTTACAGGGAAAAGGACAGGTTTCACAGTATATAGTGACATTTCACCAAGTTTTTAGAGATAAGAAATATTTCCTCAGGTGGACCAGCACAGGGAAAGAAAAGGAGCAAGGATGTTAAAGTGTTTCAGTTGTAAGAGCAAAGTCATGGAGATGTAAAGATACATGGTATCATCAGGAAATGGAGCTTACGACAGTATGGCCAGAACATAGGCTAACATGGGGGGAAGAGATTCTCATAGCACAGTGAACTGTTAAGGGCCAGCCTGTGGAGGATTTTAGTCTGTGAATCAGTGAAAGGCATTTGGATTTTATTCTTGGTCAACTAGGATCTATCAAAGGTTATTAGCAAGGGAGGGATGTGGTCATTTCTGCATTTGAAAACAGAAATGTGTTTGTAGTGGGGAGAATGGCTTGGAGTACACTGGAATTAGGAAATACTTAGAAGGCTATTATATTAGTCGTGTTTAAATACAATACGTTCCTGAAGTTAGAGACTCTTTCAAAGGTGAACTGACTGACAAGGTGATTCACAGGGTTAAGGGTGAAGAAGAGTGATTCTTTTTTTTTTTTTTTTTTTTTTACAAATAGTTTATTGTCAAATTAGTTTCCACATAACACTCAGTGCTCATCCCCACAAGTGTCCTCCTCCATGCCCATCACCCCCTCCCCCCCACATCCATCAGTCCTCAGTTTTTGTCAGCATTCAAGAGTCTCTCATGGTTTGCCTCTCTCCCTTTCCCCCACCATTTACGCCCTTCTTCTCCCCCTTGTTCCTCCGTCAAGTTCCTCCTAATCCTCCTATACGTGAAGAAGAGTGATTCTGACATGCACACCTCTCAACCATAATCTGAAGAAAAATGCCTCAGAATTCAATGTAATGTATTTCATTCACCTTTACTTATAGAAGAAGATAACTTCAGAATTGTCCCCCCATCCCAGATATATAGATAAAATTCTAGGAGTGTGACACTGGAATGAAGATTTCTTCTGCCTTAAAGAGGGTTACGATATTTTCTGAATTTTGTCTCCTTTTAGGTTTAAGCTAAATATCGGGAAAGTCAAGTAGGATAAAGTTTTCTCATAGTGCGCACTGTTGAATCAGATAAATTGGATCAGAAGCAGAACTGAAAATGTCCTTACAAAATATAGCCTGGCTTTTATTCATGACTCAATATTCCCACTGAGGGTTCTGCACCAGTTCTTTAAAAGTATGCCTTTCTGTAAAGGCATAATTTCAGTACAACATCATGAGTACAGTTGTCCAATTGCAGGGACAATGAAACACCAGAGACCAAAGCCTTTGCAGTGTACACAAATGTACATTATAAGTTAATAGGTTAATAAAACTCTAAAACTAAAGTCAAGGAATACTGCACAGTAGTTATTTCTAAAAGTAGTGTGTGTTTTCCTAAAATTCAATGTGTCCCTCTTTCATAAAAATGAAGTAAAAGTATATCAACATAATATTTTCAAGAAACTAATTTCTCCCCTCCTCTACTTCCAATAATTCTTTGAAAGTCATTTAAGTAAGGTATAGCCTTTAGTTTACTGAGCAGAATATGGTTCTTTTTTAATCTTATTGCTATCATATTTTGATGAAATCTGAATCCTGTGTCCAATATTCTGCTACACCATTGACTCCTGTTTTCCAAATTCAAAAGCTGCTTTTAGTCCTCATTATCCTTGACAGCATTTAACCTTTTGAAAAGATTTTCTTCCTCATCTCACTCTCTAATACCTTTGTTTTCTACATCCTCCTTGATGATTCCTTCTCTCATCTTTGTCATTTTCAATTTAATTTTCCCTTCTAAGGGAACTTTCCAAAGGTTGTTCTCTTCTTACCATTGTCTTCTTTGATTTTCTTCCAAATCTATTACTACCTCCTTTTGCTGAATATTCCTTAAAAGGTGAGGTTCAGCTCTGCTTCTAAGCCATTGCACGTGCTATTGCCCCTTCCTAAAAAAGGAATCACATTATAGTAATTTCAGCTTATTCAGATTTTAGTCCTTTAGGCATCTTATGGAACTGGAAACTTTTCCTGTGTTGTAGAGCATCTTGTGCTACCTTTATAATAACCCCCATGTTATAGCATGTCTGTCTGTCTATATATATCTATGTATTTATCAATCTCTCATCTAGCTATTTATTTCTGATCCCCCCCCACCGCCTTGTCTAACTATCTATATATATCTTGCAGTGGTTCTCAGAATCAGAAACCCAAGCACATCACTATCACCAGGGAACATGGAAAGGCAAAACCTGTGGCCTCAAAGCACATCATGTGAATCAGAAACTCTAGGGGGTGGCTCAGAAGTTTGTGTTTTAACAAGTCCTCCAGGTGATTCTGATACAGGCTGAAGGCTGAGAATCACTGGTATGTTGCGATTGCCTGGCTTTTGGCTGATTTCTCTACTAGATTATGGACTTGTTTTAGAAACTATGGTGGAATCTTTTTGATTGTGAATTCAGTATCCAGTGTAGAATCTGATACATTGTTGCTATATAAAACTACTTTTTTCAATGCATATATAAATAAATGAGTAAATAAATGACAACTTTTTTATGAGCTCCAATTCAGCTCAGGTAACTGTGATTTGTATGGAGAGCTGGGTCACTTCAAAGCCAGTATTTCTAATAGGAAAGTTGACATCTAATACTCCTCAGTAACACTGTCTTCCAAAACAATTGCACATATTTGCTTCTATAACCCTGACCGACTTTTTGGCTCTCTGGCCTCTCCTTTTCTATCAATACTAAAATCATTTTCCAAACTATTCATGGAAAAACCTTAATTATCATCTTTCTTTGAAGAATAACTTCAAAAAGTAAATAATTCCATTTATTATGAGTATATAACTAAAACATATTCACCATCAAAAAATCTAAAAATTCAGTTACACACACAAATAAAATTAAAAGCACTGGAAATTCCATACCTCCAAGAGAACCATTACTAATTGGTGCATGTATTCATTTAACTTTTATTTCTATCATGTTTGCATTTCAGTGTTTGCTATGGAGCATAATATTTTGTAATCTACTGTAACTGCAGTATTTTGGATGTATTTTCCACAGATTTCTTTTTTTTTTCTTTTTTTCTTTTTTTTAATTTATTTCTAGGAGAGAGAGACAGCGTGAGCAGGGGAGGGTCAGAGAGAGAGTGGGTCACAGACCGAAACAGGCTCCAGGCTCTGAGCTGGCAGTCAGCACAGAGCCCGACGCGGGGCTCGAACCCACGAACCGCGTGATCATGACCTAAGCGAAAGTCGGACGCTTAACCGACTAAGCCACCCAGGCGCCCCCACAGATTTCTTAATGGCTGCATATTTTTGGCAGTAATTTGACCTGTCCTTATCCTTCCTTAATTAATTGGAAGTTCCTTCAAAACCTTTTCATTACCTCTACACTGGTAGTGCAGGCTCTCTCTTACTCCTATAACCTATTGCAATAGCCAGCTATGCCAGATTAATCTCGCTAAAGCTTATTTCTGGGGACCTGGATGGCTAAGTTGGTTAAGCCTCTGGCTCTTGGTTTTTGGCTCAAGTCATTATCTCATGGTTTGTGGGTTCCAGCCCCACATCAGGCTCCATGCTGACAATGCGGAGCTTATTTCAGATCCTTATTCTCTGTCACTGTCTTTCTCTCTTTTTCTCAAAATAGATAAATAAACTTTCAAAAATTAATAAAGTTTGGTTCTGAGAAAATTGCTCAAAAGTCAAAGTTACTCTCTAGTGTCTTCCCAATAAGGCCAGGTCCTGAGCAGGACCATCAAGGATTCCTGTTGATTTCTTTTGCATACACAGGCTCTCGGTGAGACTGCTCCCCACTTTCACAGCATTTCCTCCATTTTCCCACCTTTTAAATTTTGCTACTTCTCTGTTCCACTATTCTTTTCCAATAGCAGTTTTACTCAACTAGCCACTTCAGTGTGAGGCCTTGTTAAAATCACAAACTTCCTTCCTTCACGACCAATCCATTCCTTATCTCTTTTCTCTGCTATATATTTTTTCTCCTCAGTTCTTATAACCATGTAACAGACCATATATTTGAGTTACTTAACTTGTTAATTCCCTTGTGTTTGACTATAATAAAAGCTCCATGAAGACAATGATCTTTGCTTCTGTCTTATTTATTGCCATATCCCTAAAATCTAGAACAATGCTTAACACAAAAGACACTAAGAATATATTTGAAATAATGAATGAATGAATGAATGAATGAACTAATGAATTAGTTAATAATTAATATTTACTGGCAAAATTCTACAAGACCTCTAGGAAGTCAAAGATGTTATTGCAAATAGTGCAGACATTCCCTACTGACTTATGCCATGTGGATCCAAATGACCATTTAGCATGTTTCTCTTCTCTGAAAATTTTCTTTAGAACTTCTGCTGAAGGTGATCTCTTGGCTTTCTAAAGACTATTGAGCATTAGCTGTGGTTATGATATGTATTGCATACTGAATCGAGTTATGGTTATATGTTGCCCTTCTCATTGGGTATTAGAGAAGCTCCTTTAAGGCAGATACTAGTTATCCTTGTATCTCTTGCAATTCTTAGTGCATTGACAATAAGTAGTTCTAAAATAAATTATACTATTGCCACAAATATAATTAAAGTATTACCAAGAGCAAAGAGGGAGTTATACATGAGGGCATTTTACCATTGTCCCGTTAAAGATGTATTTGTCTATTTTTCTTTTTTTAAAGAATACCTGTTATCTGCACACTGGTTACTATTTCCAAAGAAATCACCATGTGAAAATTTTATATCTTTGCAGATCATTAATGCTGCACTTGCTTTGGCTGCAAGACCCAAAAGTCAAGTGGTCAAAAAAACCATGGAAATGTACAAGCACACCTGGGAGAATCACATCCACGTCCTCACCGAAGCTGTAGATGACATTACAAGCATTGATGACTTCCTCGCGGTATCTGGTGTGTTTTAAATCTTTTAATTTATACATTTGCTCTTGTCAGTTTTCTGAAGCAGGGTAATTCTGAATATAATTAATTGTATGCAATATAATGAGACTCTTTTTAATAATCATCTTTCTTGAAGCAAAGTGCTGCTATGTGTGATCTACTCTAGGATAATGAGCCTCATGGCTGGTAATCTTTACAACTCAACAATTTACACTGTGTCTCTGAAAGAAACTCCTATTCACAGACAAAGCATAATTGAAAATAGTAACTGCAAATTTTAGGCATTTTCTGGCTTTTTTAATTTAAAAAAATCATCTCTCCCCCTGTTATATTTTTATCTTTTGATTTCCCTGCACTTCTCTTCCAACAGAGTTTTCTCCACTCAGGAGAAAGAGAGAGAGAGAGATAAATGGGAAAACTCTTCATTGATTTGAGGATTTGAGATACAATATGTACTTTAGCTTCCTGTATATGTATTTGAATAATGATCTAAATAATCAAATAAATACATCTAAACATTTAACTACATCAGTTACAGATGGGTTTGAGATTCCATGTCAAGCCTAGATGATACTTTTACCACAGAATAGAACAGAGTCCCATGGGATTATGAAATTATTCTCATAAAGCCATAGTCTCAGAAGTATAGCTTGGTTTTTAATTATATTGTTGTAACAGCAAAGAACTATTTAATCTTTTTTTTAATTTTCTTAAAACTTAAGCCTCTCGTTAAAATAAATCAAATTTTCCTTTTTTTTTTTTGAAAAGAGATCTTGGAATGTGACAATATTATTTTTTATAAAATGAAAATTATCATCAAGTTCTAATATCCTTTTATCTTTTAAACGTTTCCTAATATGGTTTGTTTACCCCATGGGATTCATTACTTTCATGCATGTATATATTTTCATCTTGAGCAATAGTCCCAGAATCCTAGTGTATTTTCATGATGCATTAATGATAAGAAAATGTGTGGTGATTATAAAAATTGTAATGTTTATTTATTTTTGAAAGAGAGCCAGAGAGTGTGAGTGGGGAAAGGTGGAGAGGAGGGAAATACACAGAATCCTAAGTAGGCTCCAGGCTTCGAACCCGATAGAAAATGCATTGTAATTATTTTAAAATTGTGTTATTTCTATAGAGCTAAAAACTTTGAGAATAATGGAAAATATATGGGAGAAAAAATATACATATATGTTTTTAAATAATTGTGTCGTGAGGTATATAATAAATATTTAGCTGGGTTTTTCCACATCAGTATATATTATTTTTTCCTTAATTTTTTATATAGTTTATTTTTGAGTCAGAGAGAGACAGAGCATGAGTGGGGAGGGGTAGAGAGAGGGAGACACAGAATCTGAAACAGGCTCCAGGCTCTGAGCTGCCAGCTCAGAACCCAATGCGGGGCTCCAGCCTCGGAACCACGAGATCATGACCTGAGCCGAAGTTGGACACTTAACCGACTGAGCCACCCAGGCGCCCCTTTCTTTAATTTTTTTTTAATGTTTAGTTTTGAGAGAGAAAGTCAGAGCACGAGTGGGGGAGGGGCAGAGAGTGTGAAACACAGAATCCAAAGCAGACTCCAGACTCTGAGCTGTTGGCAGAGTCCAGCGCAGGGCTCGAAGGCATGAGCCATGAAATCATGACCTGAGACAAAGTCAGATGCTTAACCAACTAAACCACGCCGGAGCCCCACATCATCATTATATATCCTTAAAAAATCATTCATTTATCTGTTTTCTTTAGTTTATATATAATTTATATAAATTAAAATTTTAACTGCCATAAATGGTGTTTATTAAACATATTTTTTTCTATTTGCTGTCTTCTTAGTATACATTTTGGGTATATGTGTATCCAATCAGCATCTTATGCTGGGACATGTTTAATTGTTAGTGGTAGATTCTGGTTTTTAGTTGGCTCTTTAGGTTACAAAACAAAGGAAACTTCTCATAATACTCCATGTAAAGGCACTTTATTACAGGTATACTAATGGCACAAGAGGGAGACTCTCCAGGACACACAAGAATGAGAACCATAATTGGCCAAGCCTTGCATGAGTAGAGCTATAGAAGGCCTGGCATTGGAGCAGCTCTGTAGGCCTCAGAATAGGAGCTCATGCTTTTTCTTTTCAGTGCTGGATTACCCTGACCTGGCAACTTTCTGAGTCTGGTACTTTCTGTGAACAGAATGCTTTGTGTACCCATAACAGAAAAATCATATGGAAGTTTCCTAAATAACCAAAATCTTCAATTACCTCATGTAATTAGATGTTTAAGGTAGTTGATTCTGGACTTACTAGTGAACGCATACCAAAGGATAGGAATAGTGAAGATATGTGAGGAGAAGCAATTTATCACTAACATTGTTTAGAATTGTCAGTACAGGGTAATAATTAAAAAGTGGACTAATATTTAATGTGTTTCATTATTTTTTAAAAATTCTTTACAGATAATGCACTCCACTATATTCTATACCCAGGGTGAACTCTTCCTACTTTGCTGCTCTTTGGATGCCCTAGTCGGTAGTGGTCTAAGGTTATTAATATGACCTATGTAGACATCTCTGTGTTCTACTGACTTTCCCTCATAGTTGCATCTAACGCGTTACATCTCAAAGTATTATACAGTACCACCTGAGGTAGGAAGGCAAGCTTATTGCCTTCAAGTTATCAGGAGGAAATCTTTCTTGGGTGATTCCATCAGAGTTTGTCTTACTTGTCATAGGTCAAAACTTGTTCCTGAATCTATCTCTGGACAAATTGCTGGCAAAAGAAAATGGGATTTCCGTGGTGGGCTTAGAGTGGTGATTAATGGTTAATGACTGACCAAGGGACAGAGGAAACGGTAGTCCTAATTTGTAGCACTTCCTGATTTCTGTGACATAAATACTCCCATGTTGGCAGGTCTCATGCTACCGATGTGATGTCACAGAACTCTGAGTTGGGAAGAGATTTATAAAAACATCTCTTGTGAGCTGGTATAAATGAAACCTAGCAGATTATTGAGCTTAGAACAGTCATAATTGAACCATTCTAACTAATCACTTACCATCCAAACCAAATCCAGGGTTTTATGAGCAGAAAAGAAGAAAAAATGGCTATTGACTAGAGGCAGATGTTTACCCCAAGCACTCAGTGACAGCCACTCTTTTCTCAGGTCTCTTTGCTTTCATAATCTTACCTTGTATTAGTCCCCATTGAGGACTCTCATTATAGCATAACTTTCAACATCCGTTCCCACAGCTAATAGCATCTTTTCTCAGAGTCTCCCTAGTTGAATAAATAAGAATCTAGCTGGCTTGATACATTTTTTTTTAGTGTGCAGCTAAAAGTTCTAAGTCCGAGATCACAGGGCAACCAATGGATGGGTTACTTTATTTCAGATAGCTAATCATGGTTCAAATAGCTGTGATGATGGCTGTCTCAATCTGGTAGCTCTTGTGTGTAGCCAATTTTCTTAGAAAAAAATTGCGGATATAATTAGCAGTGAATGCTTCTCTGGTGATTCTTTATAATAATCTTTTAGAATGTGCTGTTTGTACTAACAGACTTTTAATTCCTCTGTTTTCCAGGTAGAACAAATGACAAGTTAGTTCATATTTGTGAATTATCTAGAGAATATTGTGTTTTCAAAATTTTTATAACATTTCATCCTTTTCCTGGGCTTTCTTTCAGTAGTTAACAGCAATACTCCATTCTTTTTGTTTTCTTTTATAAAACTAAATAAAAAGGCCCTGAAAAGATTCCCACTGTCTCCTTGTCAGTTACGAAATTTGGGGATTCTTGTAACATCAGCTCTCCATATTAAAATATAAACAAAACTTAAAACCTAAAATCAGTATGAAAGGATTTTTGGAATTTAAACTATTATTTTATTGTCATTAGCAAAGGTAGAGATCACATTGGTAGAATGTTTGTCTTATATAATGTTTTAGAGTAATTAAATAATCCAATATTGACAATTAGCTCTTAAAATAATACCAAATGTCTTTTAACTATTGTACTTCCAAATATAGAAATATTATTGATGATTTTTAAATTCTATGTTTATATCATCACCAAATTCTCTTGATGCAAAGAAGTCAAAATACCACTTTTTGGGTTCTTTTGTTTCCTAAAATACATAGAAAACTCAATCAGTTCTTTCTTGAAAATCATAAGGAATATAGCCACCTTATCAATTTATTATATATTTGCAATTTTTATGTGTAAAAATAAAATGAAATAGTGAACAAAAACCCACCATTAAAATCAGAAGGGTATTTGGCAAGCTAAGTTCTCTGACATTCACTTGTACAAAAGAGGCCCTTTTTAGTTTAATGTTATTTATGTAAAAACTTTCAGTGTCTTGCAAGTAATTGGAAGTTCTTAAATGCATAGATCTTTAAACTTTTGTCCCATCAGTGAGTGTAGAAATTATTCCCACACCATTCTCTATGTTTTTTATCACTCTCTGAAAATACATATAACAAAACACTTGTGAGAAAGTTGCTGGTCTGAAAGTTTCTTTGATCAAGGTCTGTCTTTTATATGGACAGAATATGTGCCTATGTGAAGAGATGTATGAAGCTCTAGCTTTGCAACTTCCAGGATGCCTGAAATCGCCAGGATTAGTTATCCATGTGGGAGTATAAAACTGTTTCAGATCTCTGTATAAGATGCAAATTTGGAAGAGGAAACATATTAACACATACGTCAGCTTTTAGAATCATTGCATTAATTGACTCATTGTGCATTATAACCTCAAGGAACTAAATTCTGAAGTAAACTTTGATGAAAGAGGAAATGACTTGGACCCTAAAAACTATTCAACAATCACTAAGAGCTGATTACATGTGAGGATTTGTAAAAATATGACTTTTCTTTCTTTCATTCATTCATTCATTCATTCATTCATTAACTACTTATTACATAATTTTAGGTGCTAAACCCTATGAAATCTACTGGAGATTGAAAAATTAGTAAAAGTTAGTGGCAGAGATAAGTTGTAAGGAAGCTGTGATAATGTAGATTATTGGAGGG